TGGTAGTGGTAGTGGTAGTCGTCGTAGTAGTAGTCGTCGTAGTAGTAGTAGTCGTTGTGCTCGTAATTTAATAAGTCGTCGCAGTTTTGGTGGTGGTGGTAGCAGAAATACCAATAGCAGCGATAAAAGCACTAGTGGAAGCCTGGAAGGAACAATACTGAGGATAGCTGGCTGTAGCAGGCCATATGCCTGCCCGTCTCCGGATCCCCCAAATTCAGCTACAGCCCGGCATCCCGAGCTTGAAATGTACTTCTCTTGCAGTCGAAGGGGCTTTTGAGGCTGGGTAGGAGGTTTCCTGCTTGGGGAGCTGCATGGTTCGGGCAATCCAGAGCTCTGATTTTGCCACTCCTTCGGGAAGCAACTCCGTCGCTGCTTCAGCGATGTCTCTAGCAATGGCGGCATGCCACGAGGGCGCATCAAGGCAGGTGCTTCATCGACTTCGTTCAGGCTGATGCTTGGGACTGGCCCATGTCTTCTTGGGGGATCGAAAACAAGAAAAGCGGATATGACATATGTATGTGCTAGTATGACCATATTTATAAATATACATATATATATATATATATAACCTAACATTGCTCGCACTATAATTGTGTATCGTGACTTCTTGTGTGGTTTAAAGTGCCGCGCAAAGGGGAAACCCACCATGCTACTAGGGATCAGCAGAGAGGGGCTGTCGCTTTGGAAAGCTCCTCTATTCGGTTTCTTCTTCTCTGTCGAATCCAGGCTTCGGCCGAGATTGCAACAGTTAGTAATTAACTGGTAGCTCTCCATCCTGAAGGAGCTGGCAAGTGATTAGATTTGGCTGTGGGACACAGGCTGTACGATGTCAACGTTTCTATCCGGCTTCGGTGGTTCGAAGCGGAGTTGCACCATGACCGCAATAATGATTCAGTTTTCGTAGTACTATCAATGACCAACAACAACAGAACCTGGACTCCACAGAAGAGGCTCAAACATTTTCAGGATGCTTGGTCCTTGCATTTGCATGGCACAGCTACAGCATCCTTTGGCAGGCAACAACGTCGACTGCGCACTGCAGTGTTGCTTTGCTGGCTCAGGCCAGGTTACCCTTCGGGAAGTCGGGGTAGAACTTGCTGACGTCGAAGTCACAGACCCTTCGCTGACTGCAATTGTGCAGACATGGAGCAACTACCTGTCGATGGAACCGTTGGGCAGAAACCATACCGCGCAAAGATCAAATACCCATTGTTGTCGCTGTCACACAGTACAATGGTCGAAGCTCACCCAAACACCGGGGCTCGATGGCCTGCCAAGGTGTGACTGTAAAAAGAACTTTGTGGTTGTTGCTTCAGGTAGGTTTGTCGGGGCACCCCCCCCCGCGTCGCCAATGAGACCAAGCGGCGGATCCTCCAGGAAAGGCTGGTCGGGATACTTCTCGTTAAACTTGTCGAGTACTCGATTGATGCGCCTTGGCGTTCTGAGAGAGCAAGAATCCTAAAAGCCATGACTGGTGATCATAATCGTGATGAGAACAGTACCAGCCAAGCTCCTACTCGATAGTGCCAGTTGCGCTTCAATGAAAATACAGAACTACAACAACTAGACTATTGGGACTCTAAACGATGAAGCAACATGCTAGAGACGAGCAGCAGCAACAACAAGAAGAAGAACAGGAAGCCAAATAATTCAACACCGTAGCCGCCACATACTAGTCGTAAGAACCTCAACAATAGCAACTAGCCATGTTACGACTTAGATCAAAACAAGCACCCAAATACATCCTAGAAGTGGCAGCAGTCGCTTCGCCTCGAAGTCTCCAACCAAAGCGAGTAAAGATTTCCATAAGAGAACTCTCTCTCCAAAAAACGAAGAGGATGCCAAGCCTGGCAGCTGCCTCGAGGAGCCCCGACCCCAAGGTCCAATGTTGGGGGCTGTATGGGTCCTGAACCTGTCTTCAAGGGCAAGAGGTTTCCAGGGTATCGAGGATTCAGCTACCCTGAAGGTCTCCGGCCTGTGGTTCGCCTCTGTGGAGTTCTTGTCGTCCCAGAAGTGCATCTTCTTGCCCTGATGGTCCCAACACAATCTCGCCCGTTTTATGCTCTCAGGCTCGTGGCTGAGCGGCTAGGCTCGAAGTTTTCCGGCTTCAAGTTTTCAAAGATGAGGTACTGGACATCAAACAGGGCCAAACTGTACCGAATCCGAAGTCAACCAGACTCGTGACGCCGGAGAGAGCCAGGTGTAGGAATTGCTTTACAAATCGTTTGAAGCCTTCAAAAGGAGCTGCGCATCTCGGCTTCTGAGTTGACTCTCAACTTGACGGCAGAGCGGACGAACACAGGGGACGGAAGGGGCAGCAGCGCATTGCAAAGGCGAGCTAGTGGCAGTAAGCGAATGAGCATGATGTCGTGATCCTTGTATGTTGCGAACCCGTAGGCAGGCGGCCATCCGATCAAGCTTGATAGAGAACTTGAGCACATGCAGTGTCACAAAACCCAAGCCTGCGCTGAACGGCAAACAATGCCAGCAACAACTCTGAAACGTTCGCTTACCCTCCTAGAAGCTCGTCCATGCTTGTGCCTGTCAACAACGAGTCGAACAAGAAGCCTGCCTCTTCGGCTGATTTATGTGTGCTGCGCTGCAAGAAAACGCAGCTCTGCTCGTCTGTTCTGCTGACCCCTTGAGAAGGGGGACGAGGGGCGCACGCCCTTTCTGCCCTTGCCCTGATGACGCTTAGATCCCGGATAGCCCCTGATCTCTCTTCATTTTTGACCCAGAACCAAATCTGTAAACAACAACTCCCGCAAGCTCCAGAGGAACCAGCTTTCGTGAGGTATCTGAAACACTACCGACTGCTGTGGACACCCGACCTTGTCCGAAGCGCGGCTGTACTCATAGCCGCCAGACTTCATCAGCGCCCCAAAATTGGGGATTCCTCTGAAGCACTCTGCTGCTCGGTTGGTTTATGGCAGCTGTGTGCGGTTCATGGTTGTGGGCATCTATGCATCTTGACACACTGCAAGGAGAAACAGCAGCAGATGTCACCATGCTGGTGAGCTCTTGGTTGCACCGGCACAGCTGGTTTTATCTTTCGTGTGTTGGAGTGTCGCCATACACACACACACACACACACGAAATCAGAAGCTTTAAGAAGCGGCCTTCCAGCTCGTCGATGGAGATCTCACCGACCTTCTTGTAGGTGTAGGTGCAGTCAAAGGCACCGGTGGGCTCGTTGCCTTGGCTCAAGTGCAGGAACGTCTTCTTCGCAGGCTTAGTATCTTTGTAGCTCTGACGATGCTGAACAAGCGGATGAAGCGGATGATGATGATGATGACGATGATGATGATGATGATGATGATGACGACGATGACGATGACGATCATGATGATGATGATGATGATGATGATAGTGATGATGATGATGATGATGATGATGATGACGACGAGGACAGCCTCGCAAGGCGTTTCTCGGGACGTCTGCACTCAGAGAGAGAGAGAGAGAGAGCTCTTTATGCGATTCGCACATGTATTTGCCCCCATCAGCCAAGCATGCCAATATGCATTTATCATTTTTGTAAAACTGAAATTATTGAACTGCAGAAGCTTCGCACATGCGGATTCCACAAACGACACACACACACACACACTCCTTGTGTCCGTCGTCATGCATGTGGCCATGACACCTTCCTTGCAGGCACCGCTTGGCTCTTTCCGCTCGCACTTGTGGGTCTTGCCCCAAAACCTCGTTTCACAGGGTCATTATGTCTAGACCGGAACCTCGTGCAACTCGAAGCACCTGAGATGCTAGCGTGGACCTACCAGAGCGATGTGGCAAAACGAAGCCGGGGGCGGGGCTTCTGAGAAGAGCACGCACCCGGCAGGCTGTACCACATGGCATCTTGGCATGGAGAGCAACTCTGGGGTGTTCGGACATGCTTCGAAAAGAGGCGCCGAAAGTGCGCCACGAGCAAGAGGGCGGCTTCAGGCTCGAAGAACTGAAACGGGGATAACGAAGCTCCATGCGACAGGGGTGCCAACCCTGAGTATGGTCTTTTCGCACGACAGTCTGACAGGGAGTGAAGTACCTTTCGAAGGTGCCTCCACCAACACTCGCACACCGCCATTCACTGAATCGATATGATAGTTTGGGAGCATGAAGAGGCAAACTCTAGAAGACAAGATCCAAAAAAAACTAGATGCCCAAAGCTCCGGCCATCGCACTTGTCCGCCGGTCCAATGACAACGACGGCTGAGGCAGCCACTGGGATACTTCACCACACCCATCCTCGGCATCTCGTCGGGCTCGGAGTTTCAGATTCTCCGACCAGCTCACCACGACAGTAACAACATAATTCAGGATGCAGAATCTTCTGGTGCTGTTCTGCTTCGATTGTAGCAAACCCATCCCTCTAACGTCAGAAAAGTCCCAAAGCGCAACCTCCTTCCTGAATCCAACATGCCAACTCGGCATATTCTTACCGAGAAAAGTGGGGACGGGACCCTGTGAACCCTGAACCGCCAGCCTTACCACACTCTCTTTGCATCCTTGAGCCTAAAAACTGCGGAAACCTAGTAGTATGATCGTGGGTGGCTTAAGCCTTTGAGGCACAATGTAGAGCCCAGGGTCCACTGCTTGTGCGGAAAGTGGTTGTCCGCACCCTTGTTCCAGGACTCGCAACCGACCTAAGGCAGACATTTCTCCAACATCTGCACAACGCAGGCCCCCTCCCCAAAACAAGAACTCAGGTACCAGCCACCGGGCCGAAATGATGAAGGTTCTCGCATCCGAAGGGGCCTGGATTGTGTATCTTGGGAACAATGTTAACAGAGCGTTCGTGTAATTACGAGTGGGCATCTTATTCATGCTCATGACAACTACATTGGTGTAGCACGGAGTTTGAAAGAGCTTATTTAGACGTCACTATCGACGCGTAAACGATCGTTTTCAGCGTCAGCCCGGAACGTTTCGCAGTGTACAGATTGTACAGTTGCTCCTTGCGCAGGTTGCTCCTGTTTCACCACTTCATCGACCCAGACTTCGGTCCACAAAACGGATTTAACAGTTTAACAGAAACGATTTTCTCTGCGACGACGATGACGAATGCGTGAAAAAACGACCGCCTGTCTCACCTTCCACTCTCGTGATGCCTCTGCCTCTTTACTCTCACTAGATCTCATGCCTGATGCACTGACGGCGAACAAACATGAACCGGTCAAAACCGCCCATTCTTCTTGCACGAACCGATCTGCAGCTCCACTGTGAGCGGCCACTGGAATGAACTGAACCGCACTAACACAGACATGGCTGTGATTCTTGCTGCCAAACCCAGTGGCCCGTGCACTTGCCCAGGTCGTATGCGTTGACCACACCAAAATTCCTCAATGTAGTTGATGGCGAAAGCTTGCGTGTCGAACCGTTGCGACGTCGGAACACTACTGGATCATAAATTGAGTATGCAGTCCTCGTGATGTACTGCCTTAGGTCTAATATGCGTCGATGCTCAACTTGCGCTTGCTAGTCCTTCGGTAGCGGACGGAAACATCATGAAAAAGGCTGTTGCAAGATTTGTTCATGCCAAATACCTTCAAATTCGAAGTCGATAAATGTAAGCAGGCTTCGCCGAGCTCCACCGTGCATTCAAAAGGTTCCGGGGCTTAGCCGGCTAGATGGAAGCGATCAATATCTGCAAATCTGCACAACATTAACGACTCGCCCCCAAATCAAACCTTGATAGCAAATGTCAGAGCATTGGCAATGATTTATCATCTATCTGCAAAAGAAAATACACACGCCATTCACACTTTCACTGACCGGCTACTCTGAGCTTGACACCGGACATGGATTTCAGAACAGTCTTCCGCGATGCCGTTATCTGTTATAAGTTCCCGGCGAGCTGCAAAGCACCAGCTGAACGTTGGTAGGACAAGAAGACACAAGTCACCAGAAAAGCTCAAAACCATGCAGTTCAAGCCACATGCCGAGACGGTGGAGCCTTGGCATCGACACAAACTTCCCAAAGCTGCTTCGACCCAGCGGGCCGGCAAACGAATCGTCGTTCTCTGATGATCGACACGACTTTGACAATTCCGATTCCTAGTCACTCCACATGACTCCACTCCAGCCCCAAACCTTGGAGGCGTGTGTCCCAGAAAACGCAACCCCTCAACCTTGCGAAACCAGAAGCCCCAGCTGAGATGAAACTTGAAAAAGGCACACCAGGGCCCTGCCAGGGCTCCGGCGGGCAGGTCGCACGGGTTTTCACGCGATAGCGCTCGATGCGTGTCTTCGGGATGCTGGAAAAGCTGCCGACCTTGCTCTGGGTGTCGACTGGAGGCTGCGAGGGCTCAGGGTTTTCAGGTCGAGGGTCGTGGTAGCGTCGTAAGAGCTGCCTTAACCTCCTCAAACCTGAACAAGCACAAAAGCTGGAGAGTTGAGTCTCTCTCTACCTGTCCCGGCTTCTCAGTTTCGAGCGCGAAGGTAGTGGTGCCAGATAATCTCATTGTGCAAATACCACAGAACACCGCCTGCAAAAAGCTCGTCTAAAGGCACGCAGGATAACTCTTTACATCGGCTCGGAGCATCTTCGCGAAAGCTGTCCGGAAAGGAATCTCTGCATGTCAACCTCAGTCCGGCAGCAGCAGCAGCAGCAGCAAGGTTGGTGCCCCGGTGGAGCCTATGTTGGCCATGTCCTGATTCACGGGCTCGTAGTCCTCATCCGTCTGGGTGCGGTACCTCTCTCCGGCAGAAGCTCACGGTCGCTGCATCGTTCGGAATGCCCGTGACCCCAGAATTGACTTTCAGCTCTCATTTCAACTTTGCTGCATACGGTGTATGCCGGGGCACATGTAGAAGTCTTTCATGGGAGCTTCCGGACAACCCTCCTCATCCTTCATGATCACGGAGGCTCGTCCTGGATGGGACGCAAATTTCGCGAGACGGACTCTAACCAGTACTGAAGACAAGCGCAGAGTACACTTGGGCAGCTTCACTGGATTGTCTGGCTTTCCTATAAGACCAGCCAAACGACCAAACGAGCAGCAAACGTGCCACAACCTACTTGACCAAAAATCGTAAGCCCAGAAATAAACCAATGCTTCATGCTGGCCAAGTTCCTGACGCAAGAGCCACCTGCTAGTCAGCAGAGATCAGCTAAGGAACTAGTTTGCGGTGGTCTTCAACACAAGGAGGAAACAAAGAATGAAGTAGTGCCACGGACCCAATGTGAAGACAGGTAAATGCTTCCAGATTGGCTATACCACCTCCGCCCCTCTGAAAAGTGTATGTTACCTCACATGAGCTATGATGTAGACATGCGTTAATTCAGCCCCCATGTGTCGTCACGGGACACTACACACGCAATCCATGACTCTTCCACAAGCAGGAAGAGCTGCTCACATCTTGCACGTAGCGATGGATAGACAACACAATGTTTCGTCACGAGCGAACCCGGAACTATTTAAGCAAACACGGGCCTGCTGTGTTCGCAAAGCACCGGATGTCGAAGTGGGACCCCTGCATACGTCTTTAGCCAAACTGTCTATGTTGTGTATGTGCCTGTCTGTCTGGCTGCTTGCCTGTCTGTGTCTGCTTGTACGTGTATATCTATGTATGTATGTATGTACGTACGTACATATGTATGTATGTTTGTATGTATGTATGTACGCAGGTACGTACGTGTGTATGCATGTATTTCACGTATGTTTTTCATGTATGAATGCATGTATGTCTGCGTGTATAGCTATGTGTACTTGCAGGTGTGTACGTGTGCACGTGTGTACGTATGTGTTCGTGTTTTATGCATCATACTGTTGCAAACATGTACCAGAATACATGCACACACACACACACAAGGAGGTCTAAACACATATACATATGTATATATACACAGCAACATATACATGTATTTGTATATATATATATATATATATATATTTTGTACATGTGTATATATATATATATATATAAATATGTACGCTTGTTTATTTAGAGATTTATCTGTGTGTGTATGTATATTCTTTAGATTCACTTATTGTTTTTATGTAGTTCTGTGTGCAAGTGATTGTTTTGCTCATTCATTCATTTACATGACTGAACATAGTCATATGCATATCTTCTTTCAAGCATGTCAACAAAAATACGCACATGTGAGTGTAAGTGTTTGGCTTGCTCTATATATGCGCGCAGGCACGTATTCATGTGCATGTATGCAAGTCTGTATACACGCGCCCACGTGTGTGTGTGTGTGTGCACGTACGGATGAAAATACGTGCGGTTGCATGCATGTATGCATGTTCCAAACTTATGTGAAGAATATCGGTGTGAGCATATTTTCATGCTACACACGGCCATGTTGCAGCCGCTCGTGCGATTCTACAATGTCATTGCCTTGGCACTCTTATCTGTGAACACCACCATGTTCCACGTTGAGGTTTATGCTGGTGATAGCGAAGAGGTGAAGGATATGGCTGAGAAGATGATGATGACGAGGATATTGATGATAATATTGACAATGGCCACGAAGATGATCACTATTGATGATGATGATGATGATGATGATGGGTGCTACTCGGTCGCCGCTGATGCTTTGCTCATGCTTATCGGCTTATCCTCGTTCGGACTCTTTCCACTATCACTGCACATCAACGTGGACAATGGACATGCATATTGCAAATGTTCTGAACATTGTCGCATATTATGTGGGAAAATTCACAGCAGCATGAAACACAGTTAACACCTATGAACACACAACCATCAATACGAAAGGAGAAACTTACATAGATGTCACAACCATGCTCAGCATGAACAATTGTGGGCACAAGCATGGGCTATAACGTCATATATACACGCATACATGCTACCGCCCCCCTCCCATAGCCGACGGCAAACCTTATCTTAGAATAGGTTTATCAAACATTGGTAGTTGTTCCCCTGTCCCTTGAAGCATCCTGTGTGCAGATGATATTTGGAAAATACAGTGTCGGAACAGTGGCTGAATGCTATTCATTCGTTAGCCCGACATCAACAAACAAATACTACATAATCACATTTACGCTAGCGCTCACAACTAGATGTTTATGAACAGTGTGGATACTGTAAACTTTCGTTCATTGCCGACATCTAACTTTCCAGTTTGGAACTCCATGCTGCAACCATTTTTTGCGTAACAGATTTAACTGGATGAGACACTGCCAAAAGAGCTACGACGACAACGTTGTTAAAAAATCAAATCTCGGCCCCAGGCTTCTACTGACCCGGGGTCTCCCAAAGCCAGAATGGTGGTGGCGAACTTTTTGCATAAATTTGGGAAATTTCAGATTCTGCGACATTTCCAAACTTTCCAACGCTACAGATTCCAACATGTCCAAAATTGGTAGAGCTAGTACACAGGATTTTCGACTACATAACGGAAAACTTTTTTAAAAAAAGTTGTAATTTCGGAAAAAATCGAAAGTTTTTCTAAAATTTCTGCATTTAGCAGACCTAGTATACAATATATTCGAAAACATAGAGCAAAACTTGTCTGAAAATTTTGGATCTCTTGGAAGTTCTGGAAATTTTGCAAACGCCAGAAACTTTAAATTTTCTACATATGTGCATTCTTGCATTTGATATGTGATGTTCATGTCACAAAGATTGCAAATCAGGGCAGGAGTCTTTGGCATATAAGGGAAACGTCGGTATTGACGCGAAATCCTGCATGTAGGTAAACGGTAGAACTTACGGCGCAGCTGGGGCGTGGACTGTCGGGGGATGCCCCACATATATATATATATATGTACATATACATATACACATATATATTATATGCAGAAATGTATGTGATATTATTACTATTGTTACTACAATTATTATTTACTAGAATTGTTATGTCTATTACTAGTGCTACAATTACCATTGGTAATATTATGAGTATGATTACTATTGTCAGTTTCATGTCTGTTATTTTTGTATATATGTATGTACACTCATATATACACATATCATATAAGTATGTATGTATGTACGTGTGTAGGTTTGTCTGTATGGATATAAACATAAATACGTATTTAGATGTATCGTTTCTTTACATTTATGATATGTATGTATATATGTATACAGCTCTATATATATATATATATTTATTTATTTACATAGCAAGTACAGTTAAGCAAGCATAAACCATATATTTACATACGGACATACACATTTTTGTCTGTGTATATATATATATACATATATACATATACATACATATATATATATATATGCATGTACATGTTTATATAAGTATCCGTATATGCATGTATAAATATGTATGTAAATACCCATACTGTAGCATATCCCCGCAAGTGATAATGCGAAACGGCGTGCATACACGGCGTACACCATAAGTGAGACATCAAATACAGAATCATATAGTAGGAATCCGGAATCATATCTAACATCCAGAAACGGACATCCTGGTCACAGAACCTACACACAAGGACACCAAAAAGGCTGTATACTGCTACAAAATGTGCATACTGACACCATACAACCCCATGCAACACCAAACAACGAGAAGGATATGAATATGTGTCTATGTATGTTGAGACATGAGGCTACGCGACAGATACCATGTCGTTTGAGATTCAATACGTATATTGTACCTTTCGACTGTTGCCAATGTTGCCACACAGTGTCAACACAGCAAACGATGCGATAGTGAGCATCACTACGAATGCATGTTAGAGCGTGCATCGATGAACGTACAATGATGTATGTAACACTTTCTGCTGCCGGCTGACACATGTCCAGCTGCTGCGATGAGAGCCTCTCGGAAAATGCAAGCAGAGGACTTGACAAGTTGCATGCCAACATATCGTACGGCCCGCAGGCTGTCTGATGTCCGCATGCTGTTTGTACGTCAACATCCATACGCCAACCTGTTACAGAGACCTTTTGGACCCTTTCCTACATCCTCAATCCTAAAACTGTCGAAACACGGAGCCAAACGCGCCAGTGTCCCTCCCCGCCAGCGTGGCAGCCAGAAAGAGCGTCACACCGACAAAGCGTCCGCGAGTGAAGACAGAGCCTTTTTGGACTGGGCTTGAGTTTGAAGACCTATCTTTGCTTTTAAGAACAAACGGCTCAGTTCCATGTAAAGGACTGACTCTCTTCACATGGTCGGGCATTCTTCGTCGGAGTATGTGCAGGTGAAAACTCAGAAGCCCCAAGCAATGGGGGAAGCTCGCGATCCCTGAGCTTTCACCTGTAAAAGCCCGTTTAGTGATCCCGAACTCAGCAGACATGGAAGGCCAAGCTAGCTCGGCCTGTCGGATCTTGTCGCACCGGCGAAGGCTCGCCTGGTCGGTGTCGGAGAGTACAGCTACGGGGCTCTTGGAGGCTGAACGTGCAAAGCGCTTTGCAAGCTGAGGTTTTTGCTACTGGCAATCATGACGTTCCCATTCTCTTCATGTCCAAGCATTAAAATCAAGACTATCGTTCAAGGGGCCGACATATCAGTAACAGCAGCCTCTGAAAACCGAAACTCATGAGCGAACCTGCTTCCATCACCGTGAGGTCCGACGTCACCATCTCCTTCATGGCGTTCACAGGAGTTGTTGGGCTTCTAAATTTAGAGTGTGAAGGCCCAGGGTTTGGGGTTCGCAGGTCGAGGGTTTTAGAACGCCAGGTGGATGTCGATAACGGTGCAAGGCATGCTATTCCTGCCAAATTAACGAGGCAAGCGAGCTGATCAAGACTGCTCGTGACTTCGATTGCCCTTCGCATGTTGGCCTAGACCCGGCCCTAACACCGAAACAGACCCAGAACAATCCCAAGCCTTAGGCCTTAAGCCTTTACACAGCAAGGGCTATGACCTCCCGCTGCAGCGGCTCATGCTCCATTCTTCGCCGAAGGAGGGCCAGACGTGGCAGAGTCTCGATCAGAGCAACAAGCAGTAGGAGTGCCTGAAGCCTGAGCCCTAAGTGGGGTGGGTCCTGCTTGTCATCAAGAGGAATTGTGTTAGGACGCTGACAACCACGATCATCAATGATGGGTTCAGCGACTTTAGTTGTCTTGGCTTTCCGTGCCCCGTCATGCCTTGAAAGATATTGGAAGCTCCACAGACCGGTCATTGAGCCAGAAGCAGCAGTTGCATCCGAGCGAACTTTATTTCGGCAGCGAGGGAGCGACAGCCCAGAACGACTTAGAGCACTGGGGCGACATCGAGGGTCTTTGAGCCTTCTTGGTGCTCGCAAAACCCGAAACCTAGGCGGCCCAGCCCACCCCAAACCGCCCTCCCAGCTGTCGGTGCCTCCTGCACCCAGTCAGGGTCACTGCTCGCCAGCCTTTGCCGACCGCTCAGCAAAGACCTTCGGATCACGTACTTCGCGGGAGGTTCCCGCCATCAAACAGGCCGAATCGCTTCGATTGCAAGTTTAGGATTCAAAATCCAACCTTTACAGAATCCTGAAGCCCTTAAGCAGATCCTTTACATCCTTGGCGGGAAAACGGCAGTCCACTGAGTGCCGGGCAGCGCAACACCAAGCGGCAGCGCGCTCCACCATGCCACCTGGACAGCGCTATGATCAGCGCTACTGTGATTTGTATCTCTCTACGACGAAAAACATGGGAAATTCGGAAAGCAGCTATATCAGTCGGTGACCTGCAGCAGCGGGTCAGAGAAGAGTGAGGGCATACAGACGTCATACACAAATACAACACTGAAAACGACAGAAGCACTGCAGCAGCAGCATAAATGGTATAGCCGTCGCGTTAACAGTAGTAGTAGTAGTAGTAGAAGTAGTAGTAGTAGTAGTAGTAGTAGTAGTAGTAGTAGTAGTAAGAACAGCAGAAGCAGAGCAGCAGTGGCGGGGGTAGCTGCATGAGTCGCTGTAGCTGCAGGAGCAGCACCAGTACTCAGTTGTTGTGTAAGCCACCGTGATAGCAGTAGGTAGTCGTCGCAGTCGTCAGTACGCAGTCACAGTAGTAGCAGAAGTAGTAGTAGAAGTAGCAGTAGCAGTAGCAGTAGCAGTAGTAGTAGTAGTAGTAGTAGTTGTAGTAGTAGCAGAAGTAGTAGTAGAAGTAGCAGTAGCAGTAGCAGTAGCAGTAGTAGTAGTAGTAGTAGTAGTAGTTGTAGTAGTAGAAGTAGTAGTAGTTGTAGTAGTAGTAGTAGTAGTAGTAGTAATAGTAGAAGTAGCAGCAGTGGTAGTAGTAGTAGTTGTTGTTGTTGTTGTAGTAGTAGAAGTAGTAGTAGTTGTAGTAGTAGTAGTAGTAGTAGTAGTAATAGTAGAAGTAGCAGCAGTGGTAGTAGTAGTAGTAGTAGTAGCAGCAGCAGCAGTAGTAGTAGTGTTCAACAGCACCAGTCGTGCAAACAACCGCACCTCTGCGACGCCGCTCGCTAAGCCAGCGATCTGCGAGAGTGCTTGGGTGTGCGGAGTAAGACCAGGAATGAGAACGTCCCTTCTAACTTTGAGTGTCAACTGCCTGAAACTTCAAGCGTTCACCCCCTTCAACCTCCCAAGCCACGAGTCTGTTCTGCATGTTGACACGTCTGGTGCTGTTGAAGGTGATGGGGCTTTGGGCTCGTGAGCTGCTTTCGCAAAGCAATGAAATGTCAAGAGCTGTTTCCGCGGATCGATCATGGAAATGATCCACGAACGTTCTCCTTGGAATCCAGACCCAAAACCCCAAACGGTGAGACCCACTCACATTTTTCCAAACCACGGTGAATCACCTGACCGTCCAGAGCGTCATGCCCCCAACCCACAACACCTAGACTCCCTAGGGTCTTACAGTTCAGACGCCACTTAGGGTTTTCGGCCCGGGTATACAAAGAAGACGGGGCAAGGCCCCCCACCGTCAGAAGAACGGGATTCAGCAGCCACACGGAGGCCTCGCAGGGTTTACACAGGCTTTGGGACTGTGTAGCAGTCATAGCAGTCGTCGTCGCAGTGGTGGTGGTAGTGGTAGCAGCAGCAGNNAGCAGCAGCAGCAGCAGCAATAACATCAGCGGCAGTAGCATCAGTCGGGTCCTTTTGAATTTTTGCTCAGGCAGACTTGTGTACGACTTCGCCGGCGAACCATGAACATTGCTAGGTTCAGTGTAGGGGCGTCAAGCTGTGACACTCTCAGCAGAGAGGCCCATGTTGACGCCTTGATTGATTCGCAGTTAACAACATCCTCATACGAGCGCGGACGAAAGGAAACGCAAGTGAAAGTTTCAGTTACTTACCATGATGAGGAATATTCTGGCAAACAGCAGCATATTGTGACGGCACTATGACTCATCTCGCTGTTACCTGAGTGACCTACCAGGATCAGCGTCCACTGAAGCCGCGTGCACGCACCTGGGAGGGGTTGGTGGCCAGTATGTCCAACTGTATCTAAGAGCTTCGCAAAGGCACCAGTCAATTTTGAATGTCCTTCTCGGGCTGGGGAGGTTCAAGTCTCTGGGCTCAGCCTTGGAGCATAGGAACCATCGGGTGTAGGCTTGGATGCGAATGTGACAAAGTCGATCATCGTTATATTTGCTTTCGTCTGTTTCTTCTTGCTTTTCTGTGGTGGTGGCCTTTTGACAGTTGCCACTGTTGCTGCTGTTCTTACAGCCGATACTTGTTCTTAGTAGTGCCGCGGGTGGTCGTAAGTGCTGGTACACCTACGGTGCCCAAAAGTATGTGTGCATATATAAATTTACATATGTGTGTGTATGTACGTATGTACGTA